GGGTGGGTGGGTGGGTGGGAGAGGGTACAAAGACGGTTCTGACCAGGTCCCTAGCCTCTGAGAGCCTTCTCTGCCTGGGACAGCAGTGTAACCTGGTCCTGAATCAGGTGAGATGCTGCTAAGGTGTCCTGGAGGGATCAGCAGGATTCTGGGAGGAGGTGGCATTTGAGGAGGATTTGAGGCGGAGAGAGCCTTCCCCACTAGACCTCGGAGCTGGGCTTCTATAATGTGGACAGGGGCCGGTCACTGCAGCTTTAGGACAGGCAAGTGATATGTTGTGAGATCTTCTTCACGAAGACTGCCCTCATGGCACATGCAGGATGGGGAGGGTGACCCTGAGAGTCAGGAGACCTGGGGAGGCTGGAGGCCTGGCATGGCGATGGGGTCAGAGGAGAGGACACAGATCAGAGGATGGGGTGCACGGAACTGTCCAGACTTCACCCGTGTGTGGCTGGGCCTCAGCGCTGGGTGGTCCCATCAGCCTTACCACACCTTGGTCCCTTCTCCTCCGCTTGTCAGGACTGCAGGGGCAGGAAGAGCAGGCAATTTGGGCAGCTGCGGGCCAGGAGCAAGAAGCGAGCTGGCGACGTGCCCAGAGCATTTATCACGGTGTGAGCCCCTCCCAGGGCCCAGCCTCCACGGCCCACGGCCACCAAGTGGCAGGATTTGGGACACTGATTATCAGCCTCAGAGGCTGACACTTCCCCGCCAGGTCAGGCCCCGCCAGCCCTGCAGTGCTGGGGTCTCATCACCACTGAGATGCGTGGAGCGCTGCAGCCTGGAACCCCCTTGAGCTCTGTGCCTCTGGTTTCCTGGTGACCCCCTCAGCTCACCCTGATGCTCACCCCCGGCACTGACTGTTCCACTAGGGCCCAGCTGCTCTGTCTGCACCACAGCTGGAGGAGCCAAACAGGCAGGGACCGCAGGCCAAGTTTTAATCAGAAAACAACTGTCCCCAGCCGTTAGCAAATCATCAGCTCCGAGTGCCAGGACATCAGCTTGGGATTCTCGACCTGCCTCTCTTGGAGCCAGGGGTGCGCCGAGTCCCAGGAGACGTTTAGCTGTCAGCTGAACAAGATGTGTCTGCAGACAGAGATGGGCTGCTCACCCTGAGCGGGACTCAGGTACCCAGCAGCCATGGTGTGAACCCCAGGAGACTCCTTGGGATGCCCAGCTGGCTTGCAGGTGATCCAGAAGAGACACAGGAAGGACACCAACTCAGGACAGGTGTTCCCCCTTCCTCACAGCCCACAGAGATCAGAGATCATGAAACCCTCTTGTTTCACAGTCAGAGAAACTGATGCCAGCAAGAAGGGAACCCATGTACCAAGTCTGCTGGTCTCCGGACTTGAGCCCAAACTCTGGCTGGGACAGCTGTGTGACCTCGAGTATGGCCCTCAAATTCTCTGTACTTCCAGTTCTTTTGTGAACAATGGCAATTCTCCCACACCGGTCAGGGATGCTGGGGAACTAAATAATAGGTCCCCACGCCACCCCAATAAGTGCCCCCCTGGACACCATGCTTCTCTGCACACGGCAATCACACGGCTAGTAAACGGTAATGTCTATGGCCCCGGAGATTGTAAGCGTCCCAAGGGCAGGTCCTGGCATGTGGCAAGGGCTCTGAAAATGCTTCCTCTGTCATCTCTCAGCTCTAGGTCCCCATCCACAGAAAGCAGTCACCCTTGTGCAGCCTCCTGGTTCAACTCCATGGGGACCTCAGGAAACAACAGCATATCGTGGTGGGGACACGGAAGACAAGGGATGATGAGCTGGATAAAGGGATTCCACCCAAATGTGCCTGAGGCTTAAATAGCGCTCCTCAGCCTGTGTGTGTCCCTTCCCAG